AGACCTTGTCTAAAACAAAACAAAACATTCAGCTTGCCTATCCCCACAGTGCCCTGGACAGAGGCTCTGAGGAGAGCCTCTTTCTGCATGCCCAGGTCTCACAGTCCGAGGGTGGGGAGTGGGGAAGGTTGAGGGGGAGGCTGTTCACCATAAAAGTGCTCAGAGAGCATCTCCTCGCTCGCTTCTCAAATCCTTGTTTCTAAATACAAATTTTACACAGCAAAAGAAGGACTAAAGCAACTCTGGAACTTTTTTTTTTTTTTTTGAAAACAGAATCTTGTTACATAGTCCAGGGTAGCCTCAAACTCGCAATCCTGCCTCTGCATCTCAAGTTCTGGAGTTATAGGCATGCACTACCACATCTGGAACTGAATTATGACTTTAAAATGACAAGTGTTGTCAGTCAACGTGGTGGCTCCCTCATCCTCCTATGAGCCATGATGATGTCATCATCACGAGGAAATCTGGGGCTGACTGCCCCAGGCAGATGCTCTGTGCTTTTAGAATACACAATTGTAAAATCGCTAGGAGATTTTAACATATAGCTGATCAACACACAACTCCTCTGCTTAACATTCCTGAATGAGCAGCCATCATAGGGGCGCAATAGCCACTCCATCTCCCAGGTGGAGGCTTTGAGGTTCATTTTCACCCAGAAAATCCCTGCGGGCTGGAGTGTTCAGATTAGCCCCCTCCTTTGCTTTCTTGAGTTAAGACAGATTCATGGCTGTGGTCTGTGCTGCACAATATAGACGGAGCAAATGGTCCTTCTGTCTTTGACGGAGACACGGATCCCTGATGCCTTCCGCGCATACTGTGACCCAAATGCCTGACCGAACAGCCTAAGGGGGTAGTTTCTTTTGGCTCACAGTTTCAGGGAATCAGTCCACAGTTATTAATTATCACCAAATGTTGAAGGGATGCCTACTTTGTGCCATTATCTCCTCTGTCAAGCCACTGAAGGACATACGAGATGGTCCCCGTTTAAAGACATACATAAGTCCCTCTTTATGTATAGTCTGTATCCAAAGAGTTTACACACAAACACCAAGTTAATTAACAGTATTGCAGCCAAGAAGGTGAAAGACATAAAGGAAGGGAATGGTGCGAGGGGGGTGGAGGCTCACATAAAGGAGGGGAATGACGGAAGGGGAGGGGCTCACATAA